GGACCCACTGTCAGTCATGTATACATACAGAAAACGCGTATGAATGTCATGTCCCGCCTTCTTTCCGTCAGAAGAAGCCCGCTCACGGCGGTCAGCCCACAAGGGGGGGAGCGGCGCGCGCCACCCATGCGGCCAACGCACAAGGAGGCGGCGTTGCTTCGCTTCGCTGCATGACTGACGCATGCGTAGAAACGGCGGGCGGGCGCATGGTGGCCTGTGCACGAGCGGAATGGCGACGAGCGCCTGTGGTGGCCTGTGCCCGAGCGGCGCAGCGGCGAGCGCGCGAGGCGGAGTTTGCGACGAACGCCCGCGGCAGCCTGCTGCAGAGGTCGTGCTGAGTCCGAGAAGAAGCCTATGCCGATGGACGCCGCCGCGGCGCTGGTGACGACCGCGATGGGCATAGTCCGGGACTGTCGCGGTGGAGGTGCTCGCCCAGCCCGAGCTCTGGACTGCATCGCTGAAGGCGCTCACCCGCGAGGTCATGGGCGTGCTCATCAACAAGTCCAAGTCGGTGACCATGAGCAAGTGGGACGCGCGGCGCTTGTCCGTGGAGCAGGTCTAGTACGCCTGCATCGACGAGTTCGTATCTTATGAGATTGGCCGGTTGCTGCTCACAGTAAGTACACGGAACGTCCGGCAACCAGGCAATGATCTCACCGTTCATTGCTTCCGTGGTTCCGGACTTCCGGTGGCTTAAGCTTTGGACTGGACGTTATTTTTCTAGTGTCACTTTGTTTTTCTAGCTTACTAAGTTCAGCACACTGGCGTTGTTCGCCTCGCCGTAAACCGCAACAACAAGCATGTGAAGGTGTACGAGCACGCGACGGGAAGAAGCGTGGCACTCGCGAGAGGTCGTGCGAAATCGGGAAGAAGCCTTGCCGCCGATGGACGCCGCCACGGCGTTGGTTAGGAGCGCGATGGGCATCAGGGACTGGCGCATGGCGAGCCAGAGGTAGCACATGGCGAGCAGGATAAGCAGCGTGTCGCCGAGGTCGTACAGCTTGGAAAGGTAGAGCACGCGCGCCTAGAATAGAAGACGACGGCGTGGGGAGCGTGCACCCGGCGGCCATGGCGATAGATAGCGCTAGCAGGGCCGCGTTTGTGGGTGGCAGATGCCGCACAAAGCGCCGGCAGAGGGAGCGGCGGGATGCGGGGTAGGACGAGCACTGAGGGGAGGTAGCCGCAGATGACGGCTGCCGTGAAGGACGCGGTTGCGCTGACCATGTGGCCTAACTGCCAGTGGAACGAGGCTACGGCTCCGCACATCCGGCTGCCAGCAACTACGGGAGAGCGCCGCCGCTCCGGCTCGCGCGCAGGCCACCGCGGGCGGGTTTGTTCTAACGGAGGAGACGGGGCTTCACGTCCATACGTATTTTCTATACCTATATGTGCCTGGCAGTGGGCCTATGTACGTGGGATATGTATAAAATGGCATGGATGAGGGAGAGACAGAATTATAATGGCACTTCTCCAAATGGACGAATTGTAATGGCGTATCTCCAAACTTGCAAAATTGTAATGGTATGATTCCAAAAAAAACCCTTTGTAGATATGCTCTCCTAGCATCATCCCTAATATCATGATGGAATTCATCAATTAGCTTTCTAAGCCCTGGATCAGCAACTATATCATTTATATCAAGCTCAATGCGGGGTCTTTTTGGCTCAACCCGACTCTCGATAGTTGATATCTTTTAAGTTGAAGCATCTTTCTTAGCATAATATTTTTTCCATTCTAGTCTACTACTGATTATACCCTACAATGTAAAACTATCGGATCACTGAATACCCAAAAGAAATAATTATAACTGAATACAAACGAAGTAGAACTATGCTCACCTCACAACGCCTTTGTGCTAATCGGGAAAGGGGCGTGAGGCAGGCAGCGCCGCGCCGGTGGAGGTGGAGGATGGAGGGGCGAGGGGCCATCAGGGCCGCCGGCCGCCATGAAAGGCGGAGGAGGCTTGGCAGCAGCGAGCCTCCAAGCCGGACGGCGGATGCTGACGACACGCGACTTCATGAGCGGATTAGCGCCATGAGGAGGGGAAGTGGCCGCTCGGTGGCGGCTTGGGAAAGTGGAAGAATAGGGTTAGGTGGGATTTTGGGCTGGACTGCAATGGACTCTGAAGACCCGCTCCCTGAGAATTTGGCAACCCCACTAGCCCCCCCCCCCTTGCGTCTGCCCCTGTCGACAGGATAACAAGGGATATGATCTTAGCCATTGATGGGGATTTCTGGCACACAAGGTTCACGTGTCATCTAGGAAGAATACATATGGTGGCATAAAGATATGTATAGAAGTTTGGCGTGAAAGGATGTAGAATGAGCATAGCGATTGGCCTACATCAGATTTTCATGATCTCAAATTGTTACCACGGGTTCCTTGGTGTATAAATAACCCCCTTATCCTCCATTATTTCCAACCATTTATTCTCCATAAGTCAATTGGTTAAGAGATAGCCATCTCACAGAGAGCTAAGGATCGAGCAAGTTGCGAGGAGGTAGCCTAGGCTAGCGTCTAGCTAGCAGGAGCACTGTGCATGGCAATCTCATGTTGGAATTTTGGCGCCAAGAGTTGCATTGTCCAAGGTATGGGCTTGGCGGTGACATTGTAACTCACATTTTGTATTAAAGTGGCTTGGTTGTGCTATTAATGTTGTGACCCATATGCCTCCTTTTATGCTTTTCAGATATCATGATCTAATATCAAGTTAGATCTCACAACATGTTCCTGCAATCATGGTGGTTAGTGTAACACAATGGACTTATCATGACTCTTGACATGTGCAGACATGTCCCCCTAGCTTTATTGATTGAGCCTATGTGGTTGTGCCCTTGGGAAACTTGCATAGAACAACATGGTCTTCATAGGATCTGGGCCTAGTAGGGGGTGCTACCCTAGGGTAGACCAAAGATTAGAGATTTAAAGAAGTGTTGAATAGATGTATAGATTTATCTAACTCCATATTTATAGAACCGCAATACATTCTTGGCCTTGTTATCTCGATTTGTTTTTTTACCTTGTTAAAGTGATCACATGTTATTACTCATATTGTTTGTCTTATTAGATATACATGTTATTTCATGTTCATATGCTCCATTCAGCAGATGCACTAATTAATTTAGATATGAACTGCCTTGGGAAAAGGCTATAATGTCATCATGTTTGCCGGCTGCCACTTCTCTAGCAACTACTACTCTTGTTTCATCCTCATTATGGAAGCTGAGCAGGCAGTCATCCTGGTTATTCATTGAATCACCGTCCTCAGCAATATGTTCCCCCTCAAGGCATGGGGTAAGGTGCTACAACACGGATTCGTTGGCAAGCAAGGCAATTGCCGCCTCACATTGCTAGGTTAAATCATTGCCCTTGGATGGATTTATAGATTCCACCATGAAGCCTTAACTTCGTGACGTCTCTACTAACGACTTAGTGTGGGTCATGCCTGCACTTGCACTGCGCCATGAGGGCAGTGCCACGGACAGTGATGAGAACACAAAGTCCCTCCTTCTCTCATCGCCCAGTCCCTCTCATGTGGTTCTCCTGTTTAGCTGTCCCCTTCCTCTCTCTCTCTCTCTCTCTCTCTCTCTCTCTCTCTCTCTCTCGGCGACGGCTGGGCGACCGCCAGCACCACCCTACACTAGGTTTTTCTCGGGCCTTCGTCGGTGACGAGTCATCCATGACTATCTTGCTCATATACATTTTTCAAAGTGAGAATCAAATAAATTCTAAGATGTATTGTTTAAATATAATACTACTAAAATAATTAACTATTATTATTATTATACTCCTGGCTCTAAAAATACTGTCAACATGCGTTTGGTATGGGATATAGCAGGAGATGATCTAACCCATTTTCTTTTGGATGAAATGGAACGGTCCTAATATGATTTGTGGACAAAAACATGGGATGGCACACCTGATATGTGGGTCCATCTGTCAGTAGTCTTTTTATTGTCTTTTCTCTCTCCTTTAGTCGGTCCTTCTTCTTCCTCCTCCCGATCCATCCGCAGAGGGCGGCGGCCGCCCTCCTCTCCCCCCGCGGCCGAGCTCGCCCCTCCGCCCGCCGCCTGAACCTCATCTCGCCCGCGGTCGATCTCCTCCCTCCGCTCGCCGCTCCGCAACCCGGAGAGGAGACCGCGCTGGGCCGAGCACCACCTGGGGCCCAGCGTCCTCGCCACCAGCTCCGGTGCGGCGTCCGCCCTCTGCAGCCCCGGTGTCCCCGCGACCGGCTCCGGCGCGGCCGGCACACAGCTCCAAAGGTAGGTCTCCGTCCGCACAGCCCCACGATCTTCTCTCTCCTTCCCACGCCAACAGCTCGTCCCCCTCGGTCCCTCTCCGTCTGCTTGATTCTGCTCCAGCCGCAGACCGGCCTTCGCTCTAAAAATGTCATTACGCACCCAATCCGCTTGTGGCTGTATGCTGCAACCCTACTCTGCCTTGTCTTCTCCCATCACCCTAAGCATGCGCGCAACCCCCACTCACCAACGACTGGGCCGGCCGTCGCTGCTGTCCTACTTCGCCACCCGCTACCTTCGCCGGCGACGAGCACCATTCCCTCCCCTTGGTCTTCCCTTCCTGCTGTGCGAAGCCGCGCGCCCAAACCTTAACATAATTCGTAGGTAAAACCGGCGCTCAAGCCCTAACATACTATTCGTAATCGGATCTGAATCTAATTACAAGTGTATATGCATGTATTATGCCTACTAACTTCGATTGGTTTGCAAAAATTATTGTACATGTGTACACCCATGTCCTTTACTGGGTCCGCCCCTGAGATGGATTATCAATTATCCATAATTTAGTGCAGTTCTTAAACAAAATGTAGAAACCTTTACTTCATGTATGATACTAATACCAAACTGCTCTTCATATATTTCATGTTTAGCTGCAGTGGTTATCCACATATTTTCTCTGTTGAACTTTACTAAATTCCTTCTACCTTGAATTACAGGAGCATCATTATTTCTAGAATACAATCTACTTTGTAGCTGCCGACAATGTCAGCTTCTACTGCTGCAATTCCTACTGCGAATACAAATGGAAATCATGCATTAAGTTCGGACTCGCATTCTAGCCAAGATGCTAGGCGACGAACAGCTGGTATTACAAGAAGAAAAGCCTTGCCTCCGATTCTTCTTGCAAAAATTCCTAGCAATGATCTGAGTCATACTATCCGTGGAGAATCAGTTCTTGACAAGTCAAAATATTCTTCCGAAGCAAGAAAAGATGTGGTTGCTTCAGCAGCTGCTGAACGTCAAAACAAAAGCACTACAGATGCGGTTGCTTCAGCAGCTGCTGTATGCCAAAAGAAAAGCCCTACTAAACAAGAAAAAGCCAAGTGGGTAACTGCCTTAAGTGTGCTTGTGAAGCTGTGTCTTCTTATCTCAGCTACTGCTTGGATGGGGCAGGTGTTCTGGAGATGGCAAAGTGGTGAATTATCATTTACAACACTGGATATGGAGAACAGGCTATCCAAGGTGGAAGGATTCAAGAAAACGGCCAAGATGCTTCAGCTACAGTTGGATGTTTTGGATAAGAAGCTAGGAAATGAGATTGACAAAGCAAAAAGGGATATCGCTAAGCAATTGGAGGATAAGGGTAATAAGATAGAGAAAAAGATGAAGACTTTGGAAGACAAAACTGACAAGTTGGATAAGTCACTGGCTGAGCTTAGTGACATGGGATTCCTTTCTAAATATGAGTTTGAGGAGATTTTGAGCCAGTTGAAGAAAAAGAAGGGATTCGGTGGTACAGACGATGAAATAAGCTTGGATGATATAAGGCTATATGCCAAAGAGGTAGTTGAGATGGAGATAGCAAGTCTTTCCGCAGATGGCCTTGGTATGGTGGATTATGCATTGGGATCTGGTGGTGCTAAAGTGGTAAGTCACTCAGAGCCTTTGATGAATGGCAAGAACTATTTACCTGGTCGAAGCATTGTGCACACAACAGCCCAAAAGATGCTGGAGCCAAGTTTTGGGCAGCCAGGAGAATGTTTTGCACTGAAAGGAAGTAGTGGGTTTGTGAAGGTGAAGCTAAGAACAGGAATAATTCCTGAGGCGGTCACCCTAGAACATGTTGACAAGGTAAGGTTGTTGTGCTCTACATTCATATGTAAACGACTAAACAAGTATCTATTGTTATTCATTTCAAACTTTCGTAGCTAACTAATTTATATAATTGAATGCTTAGGTATTTCCATCTCAAAATGTTATTGTAGCAAACATATATCCCACCGAATTTGGTGTGTAGGAATTAGGAAACATATATCCCGCAATGACGTTACCTGGACACGGGTGCAGGTGTTGGATTCTGACTCGGGTGCAGTTGTCAGATTTGGTGATTGTTTAATGTATTATTTTTAAAATCATATAAAATAAAAATTAGACCATAATATAGTTTATCAACAATTTTATTATTGTACAGTTATGTCATAGTACATAATTATCCATTTATGACCGTTCCAGAAGCACATGCATCACAGGTTTAAAAAGGGAGAAAAGACTGGGAAAAATTAAAAAGGAAAGCGAACAAAGGAACTAAGGAAGCCATTTACTGGCCAATTCCGCCGATCTAAATGACTTGCGCTAGCCGCTAACCCATCAAGGTGGCCTTTCCTTTTTGGCACGTCTGCAAGGTGTCCTATGCATGTCACTGTGTTCGGTGCAATAGACACAGTGATATGATTGGTGTGCCAAAGAAATTTGGATACGCGGGTCTCTGTAACACTGCCTGTATGGCAACTGCCCTTTGTTATCAGCTGAGCTAATTTAATTCCCTCTGTCAGTAAGTTTAGAAAACAGGTAGTCAATCAGTGCTCGCTCCTGATATAATCCACAAGGCTAGAACTTAGAAGCATAGATGCGGTTTCCAGCACAAATATATTTATTTCAGATTTGATGTTCTACATTTTGTTTTCTTTGGTGTGGGTTAATCTGAATAGTTTGAGAGATGGAACTGACAATCTGACATCCCTTGGAGGTCATTTTGTTTTGTCAGGCACTTATCGATTGGAAAGGAACTCATGTGAAACCCTGAATTTGTTATTAGTTGTTATTAGGTTAGGTCTGACTTCTGAATCTGATTTGATCATTAGGAGCATACTGATTGTTGACGTCAAGTATGCTGCTTATGCTGTCTCACATGACTAGATTTGGGAAACTTCAATAACTCTTTGTTTCTCTAATTGTCTACTCAATTATGCTAGTATTATCACGGGGACATGTCACATAAAGTGATGAATGGTAACTTGATTACTGATGCGTGAAAAAATAAGCAGAACACAGTTTATTATATCCGATTACAATATCATGGATTGTTCGTGGTTTAAATTGTTTAGGGAATTTTATTTATTATATTACTGACCTGAATTTGATAATTCGAGTTGCCACTATCCTGATGTACCGTCACAAATCTATCCTTACTATCACATGATCAATTTTAAGCTGCCTGCCAAGCTCTTGAGATTGTGTTTCTTTGGTTGAGTGAAATATCATAAAATTAATTATTGACATTATATATGTTATATCTTTCCTTGGGTCAGAGCTAGGTGCACGTTATTTTCTTGATTCAGCCACTCTCTCCAATTTATTCCTAACTCACGAATATCATGACCTATGCAGAGTGTGGCCTATGATAGATCAAGTGCTCCAAAGGATTTCCAGGTCCGTGGATGGTACCAAGGATCACATGATGATTCAGAAAAGGATTCAAATGTGATGGCTGCTTTAGGAGAGTTCTCTTATGACCTTGACAAAAGCAATGCTCAGACCTTCCAACTAGAGGGAACCACTGATTTACGTGTTGTCAACATGGTTCAGCTTGACTTCTCCTCAAACCATGGGAACTTGGAACTTACATGCATCTATCGCTTCAGGGTGCATGGCAGAGAGCCTGGCTCCCTCAACACTGGAAGATGAAGCCCTGATCTGAGACGTGCATGCCAAAGCGTGACAAGATTCTTGCAGCATTTCTGCCGATATGAGCTTTAGTTCAGCATTTAGTTGTAGTCAGAGCACTTCAGGCCCCCTACCACAGATAGTTCTTGGACAGGAGGAAGAATGAATGGAATAAGATGAGGCAAACGAATGTTCAGGTCACCACAAGGGACCAGCGCTAGTGCACCAGTATTGACAATGTTCATTTCAAAAAAAAAAAAACGATAATGTTGATTTTATTCTGTTGCACATTGTTATGAACAGCTCTGACATGTGTACCTTGTGAGATTTCTTTTGTTCGGCTGTTCATAGTTTGGCTTCAAATTTGTCTTTGTTTGCATCACAGGACTCTCGCTCCGTTTGAAGTTGCTCGTCTCGTTTCATTTGGACTAAACCTTCTCTTTAAAAAAAAAATAGATGTCCTACTCAGTTCGAAGAAATCGAAGTCTCTTTTTGGCAGGCGTGAATGCACTAGCTAGACACGTTGGCATTCATCATGAGTTAACCACTGTGTTGGCTAGGGCGCTAGTCGGTCAAGAGTGGTGCGATCGTGTCGAGCGAAGTGTCGGCTCGTCATCTCCTTTTTAACGACTTAACGCCCTATGATTGTAGAAAACAGAGTTAACGCCTTCCTCCGTTCCTTGTAAGACAAGAGGGAGTAAGGCAGTGCATATTGTATCTGCATGACTGCATTGTCGTAAGAAAACAGAAGTGTTAGTCTAATCTAACACTTATATATGCCTGTTGCCAAGTACTCACGTGGATCGAAAGTTCTGTTGTCCCTGCTGCTGCGGATGGAATGACATCTGTGCCAAATCCGATACTAGTAAAGTCACCATCCAGCACAGGAAAGGCAATAGCAAGTAGAATTTCTTTCCTTACCAGCTCAACCAACTAGGACGAGCTTATCAAAATTTCTATGAGCACAAGTTTAGATGTCTTCATTCAGTAATTATAATAACACAAAATAAAGAAAACAGAAAGAAACAGACTTAGCAAGGGTAGCTGGCCCATCAGATCATCAATCACGAGAAATGTATACCAGCTTTGTTGAAGAGAGACAGCAGGTATAAGAAATCAACTTGGCTCAGCTTGGAACCTCTCTTTTCTGCAAAATCGCCCTGCTGCAATATACCCATAATCTTTTCTTTAAAGCTTCCAGCACCATCTCCAGCCATGTCTCCGTCATCCATTTCCATTTCATCATCTTCCTTCTCATCGCCAGTCTCCATGTTCAGATCTTCAACCATATTAGCCAGCAACGCGACGTCATCCGCAGACATCTTCTCCTCGCCCATGTCTGCATCTTGCGTAAGTTGGAGAGACTGCATAGTCTTGTAGTTCTTCTCTAGCAATTCAAGAACACGCTTCTGTTTAAAGAGGGAGCCCAGGGTCTTGTTCTTCCGGTTGAAACAAATCCTCACAAGCCCATCCCACTCCTTGAAGCTGACAGGAGGGAGGGGCTTCCTGGGCTCGATTCGCACAACTGATGAATCAACTTTGGGTGGAGGCCTAAAGTTGTTCCTCCCAACCTTTAGGAGATGCGACACTCGTGACAGGAGCTGCACATTCACCGAGAGACGACAGTAGAGGGTATCTCCTGGCTGTGCCACAAGTCTCATGGCAAATTCACGTTGAAACATAATCACGGCACACCTAAAGATTGGACGGTGTGACAGAAGCTTGAAAGTAAGGGGAGATGAGATCTGGTACGGGATGTTCGCCACACAAATATCAAAGTATGGGAGATCACATTTGAGGACATCACCTTGGATAACCTGCATCATGAGACAACTTATTGTATTACAATTCTGTGTTCATATTACTATGGAAGGGAAAGCAAAACAAGACGAAGAAATCCATATAATGAATGGATGTTTTCAATTAGCACTCACAATCCAGATGGCCCTAACAGAGGATTCACATTACTGCCATCTACTTTGACCATCTTAAACTTCATTGTATCAGGCTAGTTTTCGTTTTCATAGCAATTAAAATTAATTTCCTTATCCCCGATGAATGATCCATAAAATTAACTGCCTGCAAACCATTCATTATCACGTAAATATGCCTAACCGAAAGCTGACAAGATGCATCATAGATAGTTCATTGCAGGATTTGATTTACCCCAGTTCAATTTGCTTTCTCGTGAATGATGATATGAATAGCACCAGTAGGAAAAAGTCACCAACAATAACCACATCACGGCACCTTCATAAAAAAGTAAACTCATTTCTGACAAACCTAACTCACTGGCTCTTCATGTACATGTACCACAAATGCCAATGGTACACTGGAAAGAACATCCTGACGCAATTACTGATTCATCAGCTCCTAAAAACTCTAACATGAGGCAGTGAAGCCAAGATCCTCAGCGTTTTACTAGTTCAGCACTTTAGCTCATGTAGGCTATTATCTATGATGCATCTTGTCAGCTACATGTGCTACACTTTAGCAGTAGTTGACACTGAACCAGATGTCTTCACGTAAGCTCCTAAAATTATAACCTGTTCACCAACAGTACTACCAAGAACAGGAATCACAATGGGAGAGAGAAAACTCTCCTTAATCAACTACTTCAAACATGAAGCTTGTAAACCTGAGTTTTCAGGCTCCACCACACCATTCAGCTCATTACAAATCCTCTCCATTTGCAGTCGATAAGACATCAAGTTAACCAAAATCGGAAACAACAAAAAAATCTTGAAACAACTTGCAAGCAACAATCGCAGAGGGAACTTCAGGGAAACAATTAATTTATTCAACAACCACGGGAACTAGGAGAGAGCTGGGAGAGAATGGTACCTTGAGGCGCGAGGAGAGCGGGTGCCCCTGGAACCGCCGGTTGAGCTCGAGCACCATACGCGGGTCGAGCTCGACGGCGACGACGGCCTTGACCCCGGCCTCGAGGAGGCGCTTGGTGAGGTTTCCTGTGCCCGGCCCTATCTCGAGGACGGTGTCGGTGGGCTTGAGCCCGGCCTTGGCGACGATGGAGTCCACCAGCGCCGGGTTCTTCAGGATGTGCTGCCCCTTGGACTTCTCGAACGGGATACCGCCCTGCAGCCGGGCGCCCCCTCCGCCGGCGCCTCCCGCCGCGCCGTGGCGTTTCTTCTGGATCTTGCCCCCCGCCATGGTGTTGGGGATTCGGGTTCGCCCGGGGCGCCGCCGCCGCCGCCGCTGGAGGAGCAGGTGGTGGTGAGCAATGGGTTGTAGCGCGCACGCACTGCGGCGATGGACAGAGAGAGATGGCGGCTAGGGCTTCGGGGATATGTAGCGTTCAGGTGTTGGTTGTTCGGCTCGGGCCTCCACTGGGCCAGCCCAAATACGTGTGCTCGCACGGCCCAGTTTTGTTCAATGCTTTCATTTTCCTCGATCTCGCACGAATTTGAGCGGATTCCATAGCCCATACTCCTGTAGTCCCCTGTAACAAGTATGTAGATAAATCAAGCATGGAAGCGACCTCTTCGTTCGAATGGATTTTTTGTGCTTAATATATGCCAATTCCAAGGATCTGAGGAACAACTCCCATGCTTTCAAAGATTCATGTGTAATTACCAAAGCTTCGGTTTTTCTGTGATTATTGCTTTTAGGATTTGAGACTTATAGAATGTTTTGAAAAAATTGTTCAGCATAAATTATCCAATACGTACTGTTTTTAGTTTTTAGAACATCCCATAGTTGGTCAAGATTTCTTTTCTTCATAGCCTCAGCTTCAGCGCCATTTTTTGTAAGGGTGTCCACAGTAACAATTTGCAAATAGCTAGCTAGATGAGGTTTGCAAATAATAAAAAAAAAACACTGTAACGGAGAGTTATGTGAGCTGTGAGAGAGTGGTTTATGAAAGATCGTGTTAGATTATTTGAGAGTCACTAGCTATTTAATCTCTCTCATGGACAAGAAATAAAATTTCTTCTAGACTAGCTATTTAAGAAACCATTGGGACGCCATAAGCTTCTTGAATGACTTTGCGTCAACTTTTTTTTCGATGCTCTGATTCTAACGTGGCATGCTTTGTTCTCTCTCTGGCAGCATTAATTAGGTTGCAAAGTCAGGTATATTTGTGGTAATATCATAAGGAGCCCAAGTTCGTAGTGTACGTACGTGGCAAACCAAAATCATAAAGATGATACGATACATTTATTTCGAATTGTCATGCATGACACTTCCAAATCATGTTTGCTGCCGAAAGACTAGTACTAGATCACTACAGACTAGGGGATCGTGTTGGCACAGAGTTCTGCCTCACATCAAACTTTGCAGTCAGGTCAGGTCCAGTTCTGAAAAGAATGCTCCTCAATTTGCACTTTGCTGACATGTCGCCATGTTTGTGCCTCGACCAGTCATCATGCCACAGAAGGACAAACACAAAACAAAATAAACATGGGAATTTAGAGCTGATTTTTTATGTACGTTTTCTTTTTCTCTTCTCTCTACAATGCGCAGTAAAAGGTGCACCGTGCACGTACTAGTGCATAGCGCACACACCAGCACCATTTCCTAGTCAAATTAAACTGATAGTATGCCCCAGAGGCCCCCACAGGTCGCAGCAGTGGAGCTTTTCACCGACACATTGCCTAGCCATCATCTATCGCGCACGGTGGTGCGTCGGTGCCGCGCCGGCGAGCGCGCGCGCGCCTCACCGCGCGGCGGCCGTGCCCGTGCCGGTGCGGCGCGACGATCCGAAGTGCAAGAACGACGGCGTCCAGGTCCAGAACGGCGACCGCTTCCGGCGCTCCGGCGCGCTGCTAGGCGGCCCGGTGTCCAGGCCCAGCATGTCCCACATCACCTGGACGTCGTGGTACCCGCAGGTCTCCACGTCCCTGTGGAGGTCCACGATTCCTGCTGCGCGCTCTGCATTGCAGCCAACGTGCCAAGACGCGGCCCATTTCAACGAGGAACTGTTAGTGTTATATATGGAGTACTCTACGTAGCAAGCTGGTGATACAATTTGTCTGTCTGCAAACCACATGATGGTGTCACTGTTCATGGGGATCAGAGATTTGGAGTGAATTAACCGTGTCAAGCCGCATCAACGGTGACAAGTATTCGTGAATGTATCTAGGGCGCAGTTTTGTAAGACATTAGTGGAGGAAGAAAGTTCTTTAAAAAAAATGATCCTGCGGGCGGCAGTACAGGAGAATGCCATATGCCTCTTTTATGCCATATATGCCAGGATGTTGAACAAAGATTAAAAAAAGCAGAATGCCATATGGCAGTATACTCCATACAAATCAATTGGCAAAAGTTGCCCATGTGTATCCAAACAAACCGTTGAAAGCAAAGGCGCTAGGAGCACAAGACCACACAAGGTGGTGTAGTAGTGTCCGCCCCTGTTTCCTCTACTGCGAATGTATGTATGGCCACTTCTGTTGACACTGTTTGGTGTTCATCAGATTCTTGTGAGAATCAAAATGCTGAGACGCTAGCTAGATCATACCACGCACATACTAGGAGTTTATGCAACATTGGAAATTCATGTCCTTCAAGATTGCCGTATATATATAGAACTAATTTCAGCGAACTAATCAGAACAGAAAATATATATGTAGAAACTAAAAACTACACAAGGCGAACCAACTGAATCATGAGCTGTTCCTGCTCATTTGCTCGTTCGATCGCACCAGATCGGCCGAGGAATGCAGGCCCAAGAAGCGATGCGATGCTCTACTAGCTGCCGTCCGGCGAGCCAACTGAATCAGCCGAGACTTAGAGGAGGAGGAGGCGGTTGCCGAGCGCGAGAAGAAAAAGGCAGATTACCAGTGCGGCCCTTGCGGCGGCGCACGCGCGCGGCGACGACGGCGAGCCAGGCGCGCCGCGCCGGCACGACGACCCGCGCGCGCCACCACGCCATGACGCGCGTCCCGGCGGCCCTGGACGCCCCGCCGCCACCTGGTCCGCGCGGCGGCTCCGCTGGCCGCCGGGCACGGTCTCCCAGCCTCGCCGTGGCTCCGGACAACGGCTGTGCGTGCTCCTCGAGCTAGCTAGGATGTCGTCTCGCGCTGCTTGCCTAGTTGCCTGTTTCTCACCGACTGCTAATGCCAATGTAATGGGCCATCGTATTGTGTTGTGTGTATATATATTATATTTATATATATAGATAATTAGATTTAGATAGATCCAGGATCACACACAGGGCGGGCGCCGGGCGTTTAACTCGCACGGCTCCCTAATCAATGCCGCACGCGCTTCTCTGTACTGGTACCATCAGGCTTGTTCATTTGGTCTGATTTGATTTATAAATTATGATAAAAATACTATTGATTGATTTGATATGAAAAAATACTTTTTGGACGGATTCGGCGGGCACACGGGGCCGGGCCTTGATTGACCGTGCCGCGCGTACGATCGGGCGCGCATGTGCCCGCGGATCGCGAGCCCAGGCATGCGTTGCACACTTGCATTGCACTGACGTCGCGCGCTGCTGCTGCAGGTAGGATATGGGAGTACATACATGAGGATACGCTGAATCCATGGGTTTGGCTCCGGGTGTCCGTTGGGACCGGCCGGCAGGTCGTTGGCGATGGCAGTCAGGGCGCCGGGGTTTTAATTCCAGGGGCGCGTACGTGGCCACGTACTATAGCGCCGGGGCCTGGCTTTGGACCTCTGGTACGGAGATCTCGCCGCGATCGGCTCGTCGTTGTTGTCGTCGGTGGTGCACGGGCACGCACGGGCTCGGGGATCACCGGATCAGCCGCCCGGACGCGCACGGGCTCCACCGGCTCGGATCCGGCCTGGACGACGACGCTGCAGCTGCCTGCGCGCGAGTACGCGACGGGGCAACCTCGGCCCATCTGACTGAGACGCTCGCCCCCGGCGACGTCGGCCCAATTCCAACCAAGATAATGCAAGGGAAAAAATCCACTTTACCTCCCTCACGTTTTTGCGGGCGTTCTTTACAGCCCACCATTGGCAGGCAGAAACGACCTCCCTCATCTATCCAAACCATGCACATGACCCCATTCCTGGTTTCGGCAATGATTTTGGCTTTGTTGGCGCCCACGGTGGATGGGGCTCGATCGAGCCCAGGCTAAATAGAAAGGAAGAGGTCCGGTGAGAGCAAAAATCCCCTCAAACGCGGAGACGACGCCCCACGCCGGAGCGACGCCCACGCAAGCGGAGAAGGGGAGCCAGGCGGTGGGATTTTGGGCACCTGTCGGGCAGGCGCGGTAGCAGCTGCAGAGGCTGACGCATTGCTTGCGTGCTCATTTTCGCCATAGCAAGTGTCTGTGGATTTGTCTTGACCTGGGTGAGCCTAAGGCACAAATGGATCTGTGTAGTTTTGAGTTGGTTTTTATTTGGATTCCTTGATTACCTTGGAATTTGTGTTATTTAACTAGTGATTGGTACATCGACTATGATTATAGCCTTTGCTTTATAGTGTTCGTCATATTTGCAAAAACACCAAAAACACTTTATGTAGCATTGTAGTCATATTTTAAGCATTGATGTTGTTTATTGGATGATTTGATCATCTTGAACCGCATAGCATGTATGTTTTGCATGAAGGCATAGGTGCTTAGCAATGGATGGTTGTGACTTGCTCCTGTTTGGTTCCATTTAATGGGGAGTTCGTGAGAAAAAGCGATAGACTTTTTTTATGATAGAGGAACCGAAGCTATGTCTTTTATAGACCGAGATAAGATGTCATTGCATACAAGTTGTTGGTCATCTCCGTGACCATTGCAATGTCAAAGAAGGCACAATGTTGCATTGGCTATTTCTAGGGACAAACATGAGTATTTTTGCCTAAGAGCTCGACGATTGATGACAAAGTGTGTAGTACATGTCCGACAACACCATCGAAGATGGTGTTGCCGATGTGTTCGTTGAAAATCACTTGGATGCAATAGCGTGAAGCAAGTGAGTATGAGGGAGAGATGGAAGCTGGCCAGAGGATGATGACATAGAAGATGAAGATCTGCATCCTTTGGCTGTTTTGGAGAAAATATGAAAGCAAAGAAGAAGTAGAGAAGCAAGTTGCCCTTGTTAGAGAATTTTCTGATGAGTCCAAATAAAGGGAAAGAACAAGCAAAGCACATGCACGGAGAGACAAGTGAGAGCAAGTGAGCCTAATGTAGAAGAGAAGTCGACATCGACAGCGACGGTGAGTACATGCACGGAGACTCATGCAG